TCAGTCTCCAGCTTTACTAATTTATTGTGTTTAAAGTGTAAATTTACTTCTTTAATTTAAGAAAGTAAAATGATAATATTATGTTAGCTACTAGCTACTACACTAACTCCTTTAATTAAGTAAAATCTTTACTAATATAAACAATGGAAGATCATCAAAGGAAAGAATTATTTGTTATACGCTAAAATTGTTCTCGTATTATTATCGTCAATTAGCAATAAATGTTTTCAATTTTTATTTGTTTTACGTCGAAACGCAGTTAGGTCTGGCTCTTAATTAATAGAGCGAATAACGAATTGTTCTAAAAGTTGACGCCCGAATATTTTAAATTTAAATTTGGTCGACAAAACGGCAAATGTGGTAGTGGCACAGCTGATGCAAATTGAATTAAAAGGGTTGCCAAAAATGATTGCTAAAAGTTTGAGATTTCGGGTCAAAAATTATACGTAGCTATCCTCCCGCGGCAAATAGATTACAAAAAGAGGGTCGTCCGCCAGATTTTTAATTGCTGCAGAAAGGGAGGGAAAAAAAGTTGAAAACTCTTCCATGAAAATTATCTAACTTTTATTAGTTTCGCTCCCAAAATATAATATGGAAATAAAACTTTCTAAATGAGTTAATTAACTAGCTGATTAGTAAAAAGTTTACTAAAGGAACGAAGTAAAAGATTTGAAAAATCACTGTAAGTATATCTAATTGTGTTCCAGAGACTCATTAGACCAGAGTAATATGTCCAGTAAAATTAAAAAAGTGGTGCTATCTACTCATACCCATAGTGTATTTTTCTAATTGAATAAACAACTTGTTAACAAACCATGCAGAAAAAAATGTTAAGACAACAACAATTACCTGCTTAGTTATGAAATTCCTATTGTAAGAGTCTACAGTGGTCAAAGGGGTAGAACCTTTTCAGAAATACTTAAAGAACACATCAAGGAGAAGTTAGGAGAGTTAAATAATAAATTCAACATATGCTGAGCACCTAGCAGCACAGATTAATGATAATTAGTAAAATAATTTTACATTTCGAAAAAAAAAATATTGAATATATTAGAAAGTATAAAAATAACAAATTAATCAAGCAATCCTTATACTAAATGATCAATTAGATTTAATCATCTTTATTAAATATCAATAATTATTAGAATCCCTCTATGGTTCTAATACGCCATTTTTTTATCTTAAATTTAGTAATATTCTTCCACTTAAAGAACACACTGTTATATAAAGAAACATTGTTTGTCTTCTAAAACAATGGAGTTAAATTGGTTTAAATGTAGGTAGGAAATGTCTTCGTTGAGACAACCTGCCGATTCTACGTGAACAGCTTTTCTATTTTGTTGTCTTACGCAATACCCTTAATAGATTTTGCTGTAGTTAAATAGCTTCAGAATAGGGAGCAAGATACCTTTATTTCCGATTCAAATTGGTTTAACATTGCCGTTTATGCCTCCTATGTCCCTCCCTTAACTCGACAAATTTAAAGTAAGATGGAGTAAAAGCAGCCCCTAGAATATAAATGTTCAATCGTTAACCTTTCCAAGAAGTTTTACTTGAGCTTTAGACCCTTCATATAATAAAGGTACATTTATCGAAAGCTTTTCATCCCCTTCTGACAGATCGCAGTAGTTGGGATCATTTGAGTGGAAATTGACAATAAGGCACGACAATAATTTGAAGGCCCAGGGGGATTTTTATTTGAAAAAATCATGGATATTTGGTTCCCATAATATGAATCCATTATTTCTGTAGACGACGCGTCAAACTACCCCGCACTTTCGATTTTTATTATTATAAGTGAGATGGAACTGAAGCAAATCCGCCCTTCGATAAATTTCATTTTATATCCACCCCCGTCATAGCGGCAATTTCAAACTTTATGATGTGCCTGTAATATAAGTTCCATCCCCAAAATGCGATTTTCTGCGAGATTCTGTTTCGGCTCAGTTCTTCTCTTATTTCAAGTTTACCGATCGCACAAAGTATAGTCTTATCATAAATCACTATTTGCATCATTATTAGTGAATCCGAAAGTTCTAAACGACCCTTTTAATTTTTAACCAATATCATTTATTATCATCACAGGCAAAATGTTGTTCCTTTGCATGGGATAACATCCATGAGATAAGTACGATAGCAAAACAAAAGATGTCAAAAATATTTCCATCTGTTTATATATCACTATATCACACTATTATTACTTAGTGTTGGAATTGTTTCTGTCACTTGTGCATATACCAAATTATTATAGAGTTACTTATATACCTATGCATCAATCTTCTCGTCTATATTATTTATATTTATTGCTGTAATCGACTAATTTGACTATCTACCCTTTTTACCAGTTTTCCTTTTACATTGGTATGGAATGTTCTCGAATATCTCGAGAATACACTTCCCGAAACTTCTTGTCATCCATAAGTATTATTTACAACTATTACTCGCTGTCGTCTATAACAATACATTAAGATAATAGTGGATTAGTTCATCTATATGTACTTATTCAAATAGCGACGAAGATCCTTTTTGTCAAGTTTTGTGATTAGTTTAGTAGTTTTCTGTAATCCTCCCGCTCATATATCCTGTTACCGACATCCCAAGCTGTGAAAATCCAGTTTCACAAATTATTTGACGTGTTTTTCGCCGACATACTCAAATATTGTCAAGAAAATCCAAGTATGAGTTTCCCTAATAGGAATTTGCATGTTTGAAAAGAAGCAGCCGGGAAAGCACAAGTTTAAAGTTCGGTTACAGTTATCGTTAAAGAGAAAACTGCATTACTATTCAAAACATCTGCTTTTAAAGCTGTCGAAAGCTCATCTATCATTCCGAGAGAAGGGTTTAATGTAATTTACTCCCGAATGGCTACATTAGGTATGATTTTGAAAGGCGAACCGGATACCTTAATTCCCTATCAAATGAACGTGCCGTAACATAACAACCCTTACGATTATCTTAAGGGTAATTCTCTAATAACGAATTATTAAAATTTAAAGAAATTAAAAGCTAAGCACTAATAAGTACCACACGAAAACATTGCAAAAGGATAAAACATCAGGTACATACAATTCGTTTATTTAATTATCGCTGTCTCCTATTCTTATATTTTTAACGTTCGGCAGTTTTCATAGAAAATAGTTTTTTTTTTTATAAATCCATAAATATTTCGATCTAGAAAGTACATCATTTCATTATTTCATCTTTCCTGACTTCGTGCTGATTAGGTTAATCCTGGTTCTATTGTTTTATATTGTGCGACCTGCGACCTATGAAGGCGCAAACATTGCCGCACGGTTGCAATTAAACTCAATATACTTTCTAAAAAGTTCCAGAGTTAGACAGCTGGATGTACTTTGCTAGCTACGTTAATTGAACATCGGAAGCCTCAATGACAAAGCAAAGTTTTGTACGTTTGCTAAAAGAAGAACATACAAGTTTTTGTTTAACTATCCCACAGAACCGAAGCAGATCCTGGTTATGATTAAAAGTTAACTACCTATTATTAGAAACTACAATTGGTCTAAATAATATGTTTGAAAGACATAGGGATAACGCATTAGGAGAATCAGGAATTAGTACAGACCCTCGGCAAGGCTTTTTAGTGAAATTAGATCACATTAGAGCAGTCACAAGAGTCATGAATTTATCGATCATGCCTTGTCTTGTGTATTGCCTTGAAAGTCAAAACAATATCAAGAAGAAGGTACGAGGCAATGTCAATGTCCACAAGAAGATCGACCCCCCTGACTCATCTAGAGATTTTGGTATTACATTTGCACATGTTTTTCTGCACAGTGTACCTAGTCTCATAAAATGTAGAAAAAATTATCGTTTAAAGACAGCATCATCATAAGGTCGTCAGTCCTAAGACTGGTTGGACACGCACCTCCAGCACTCTTTCCTATCCTGCGCTTATCTTCGCATTTCCCTAAAGCTAAAAAAAAATTTTTTGGGTGTTTCATTCCCACCAGGCAGTAATGCTGGTGGGCGGGCAGTCCCTCCGGACTCAGCCTGCTTTCAGGAATCGTGGAAATGGGTGGGTGGTGGTTCAGGTGAGAAAGATGAGACGGATGAAATGAAGACAGAAGAGAATGAAAGATTATCTGTGGAATATTACTGCCCCAGCATTTGCCTAAGTGATCCAAGGAAACCACAGAAAAACTTGGACCAGGGCAGACGGACCCGGAATCGAACCGGCGTCCTCCCGAATGCTAAGCAATGATCTAAACCTCTAGGCCATGCCGCTCGGTCTAAAGCTAGAGCAACCCATATCCTTAACTATTTGCGAATGGTAATCTAATCTAGGTCTACGATAAAGACGAGATAAAAAGTTATAGATGAATTACACTTAAGGACACTGAGTATAAATATGCAATATACATAGTAAAGAACACACATACCTGTGTTCGCGCATACACACACACACACACACAAGGGTTTTGACCCCTAGTTACTCTACTATTTTTTATCATTTTATATAAAACTGACCCCCATGTTTAGAAGTGTCTAAACAGAATTTTACGTACCAGTACAAAGTTTACATCAACCAAGTTCTCCATCGTTACAGCCGCACGTTTCAAAAGGTTCGTGACATGTTTAATAATGGGAAGTTTACTAGGAGCTTTCGAACTTCATTCATATTTAAGGTTTTCCTTACATCAGGCAGAAACGAGACGAATACATTCCAAATAAACAACTTCAGAAAGTACCCCGTATATGGATGCATACCTACCTATATTCATCCATATAAACACCGCAGGAAAATTATTATACATATATATTGTAGTTGTTATGGGCGCTTTTTAAAATTTTTACCTGGACGTGAGCACACATGTCCTTAGACTTTAGACTTTAAAATTATAAGCATTTACAGATATTGTGTCTGGCGCGTTCACCATTTATACTAATGATGATTTAATTTTTTGTCCAGTTATTCCATCAATTAATACAACACATTTGGTTTTAACTGAAGTAAACGCAAATTAATTTATTTTTTTTAGGGGATGAAATACTTACATTCTACGCCAATTAAAGTGCATGGATATTTAACATCAAGAAACTGCGTTATTGACGCTCGATGGGTTCTTAAAATTACAGATTACGGATTACCCACTTTCTATGAAGCCCAAGGCATACCTGTGCCTCAGAAAAATGCGAGGGGTGAGTACCTTCAAATCTTATTTGTTTATGCCTTACAATATGTCGAAAGCTTTGAGGGTTTAATTGATAATAATTTTTAAATTTCCGTAATAGAAACACTTTCACGTGTGCTCGATTTTGTTTTCTTTTACTTCACAACAAAATAAATAAGGTAAATTGTTCGAGAAATTGGTGAGGATTTTAAGCTTTAGTTTATCTTTCCACAATTCCGGAAGATTGACAAATTACCATCGATTTCCTCTAAACAACAGTAAGGGTCTGATCTTAGATCGGTTTCAAGACTTATTGCCGGCTATTTATCGGGTCCTGTTTTAGAAGCGAGGACCAAATTCAATCCTATTTCCCAAAATAGACACAGCTTTGAGCGTAACGGACTTCCGATCATTTCAACCGAAATAATTCTAGAAATCGAAAATTATGCACATTATTGTCTAGATTTAGACAGAAACATTCTCTCAATTTTTGTGTTGTCTAACCATCACGTGACGCATTTTATTCCCGACGAGACCGTAAACAGAGTGACATGTTTGTAGCTCACAGAAATTGATACAGGCTCTGGCTGACGTTAACCTTTCTGACCAATAACCTTCTTCGATCTAATTGTCCAACTTTTTCAATTACTCATTAGTATTCAATTGTTTACATTCAATTAGTTACTCAATTATCAATCACAGAGAGTATTCTTTTTGGATCAATTGGGTATTATTTGATATGAGATATAATTAGAGACCAATAAGTTATTTGATTATGAAATTTGCGTAGTTATGATTAACTAATATTAGTTTCGAAATTGGAATTAGTATCTGAGCTTTTCGATAAATTGTTGATAAAGAAATTCATGTTCTTTATTTAAAAATAGTTTGCGAAGGGGAAGAATTTTTGAGATGTTGATTGCCCAGAATCTGACACCAAAGTATTATGCAGTTATTCATTCAGAGTTTGCATCATTTGTTGCATGAACCGTTTTAAATTTATTATATTAATGTTATAAACAATATCCTTCAGTCGTACTATTTTAAAAGTATCTGCATACATAAGAACATTGAAACCGATTATGTAGATCAAATTCGAGCAATTTTCCGTTCGAGTGGATGCATGTAAAGTAAATCCCTAGAGAAAGTTTGAGTAATATGGTTCAGGTGTTTCCAGTGGGACCTGAGCACACAATTTATTACCGAAAAGGCCCATCTTTGCGAGAGGAAATATCTTTTTGAAAGATAAACATCCCTTTTTGAACTTTGCTTGTTATGTGATATCTAATTTATTGACATAAATTTTAATTCTGAGCAGAACCAGTTTTATTCAGCTTGCAAATTTTTTTGCTTCAGTTACTACCACTTCATACATGAAAAATCTGCTGCTTTTTGTTTGTCATTATAAATATTGTTAATTTTACGTTTAAGTACTAGCTACTACCTTAGAGATAAAAAAAATTGAAATTGTTCCTATTCTCCGAGTGATAATGTACCAATTGTACATCATGGTTATTTTAATTATTTTTAAGGGGCAGTTGTTCTTGTTTCACAATAATTTTTTGTACCCTAACTCTAGAAGTTATAGAAGATAGGATTATGCCTATTAGATAATTTGTCCGCGGTTTGAGGGTTACTTATAATGTGTGATACCTTCCAATCATCATCATCATCATCATCATCATAAGGTCGTCAGTCCTAAGACTGGTTTGACACGTATCTACACTCTTTCCTATCCTGAGCTAAACTTCGCATTTCCCTAAAACTAGAACAGCCCACATCCTTAACTATTTGCGAACAGTAATCTAATCTAGGTCTACCTCTACCNCGATACGATGTTTCAGATGCTCGAAAAATACTCCAACAACCTGGAAGAACTCATTCGAGAACGAACCGAACAACTGGACTTTGAAAAGAAGAAAACCGAACAACTACTGAACAGGATGCTCCCAAGGTTCAACGATAAGTAAAAAAATAGCAAAAAAAGTTTAATTTTGATGTGTCGCGATTCGTTCTTTTTTTTAAGCACTCGTTTCGTAAATGAATTAATTGAAAATATTAAAAATTATCCCTAATATTCTCTCTTTTGTAATCTAATTACATAAATTTTGGCTTAGGGTGGTTACCTATTTCTCCCAACTAAAATTTTTTAGGGATTTTGTACGAAACGAAACCAAAAAAAGTTTTCATGAAGAGTAAATGTAAATTCTGTCTGGAGTAGAAGTGTTCTCTACAATTCCTTTAGTTCTTATCGATTTTATTCGTGTAAAACTTTGTAATACTTTACAGGCCAGTCTAAATAGACATTTTGATGCAAAATCTTTGACAGCAATCGGAGTAGAAAGTTCTCTACAGGTCCTTTCGTTTTCACTCATCCTATTCATCTAATATTTCCCGGAAGACTAATCCTGGAAACATTAAATTAACAAAGTCATGAATTTTTCAAAAATCACCTTTTCTTTAGAGGTTTTTCGTGTATATATGGAGTGCCATATGTACCCTTCAAAATTGAATTATTATTTTTAAGGGGAAGTTGTTTTTGTCCCACAATAATGTTTTGTATCCTAACTGTAGAAGTAATTTAAAGTAAGGTTATGCTTATAAGATGATTTTTGAGCGGGTCTAACCGTTATTTATAGGGTGGTATTGGTACCCTTAAGTACTAAATGTTTTTTAATATAAGTACTACATGCAATCAAATTCTTGCGCTACTTTGATCGAAAAATCTGCGCATGATAGTCTAAATCTTATAAAGATGTGGATATTGGTTCAACTGAGAATCAGTTTTATGAGTTTTTCAAACCAGTTTGAGTTTCATTAATTAGTGCAGGTGTTAAATCATAGTTTTGGTAAGAGATGAATATTTTTGTGTACTATATTCTGGAACACACTCGTTACACATGAGCTACCCCTTTCGCACGTTTAATTTTATTAACGTCAACTCGGCATCCAACTAACGCGTACGACTGTCGGAAAATCCATTTCCATTGCAAGTACCTCATTCACTGTTGACGGGTTGCATTGTAACAAATTACCATTTATATGTACAGCCGTTTAACACTTCGTTTGATTGGATGTTTCACGCCTTAATCTCAAACTCGCATGAATTTGCATTACGTACTTTTCGATCGACCGAAAACTTAACTCATTCGGCTCGATTAACCCAGTCAATATTTAAAATGAAAGCGAGGCGGTTCGAAAAGTTTTTAAATTAAAAGTTACAGCCACATAACTAATGTGGCGAGCTATATTAACCGACAGAGACACGAGGGGTGTGCCCTAGATTCCTTTAAGGGACGCCGTATAATTTTGGGTTCAATTATTTATTTAAGTAGGAAAACATACATGCACTCAGAAAAATGCTTTACGAAAAATTACTACAACGTTGTAGAGGTCGTTTTGTAGAAAATGCAACTCAAATTTGTAGTACCGGTAAACTTAAATTTGACTATAAAATTGTAGTGGTAAATTGTAGGAGAAATATCGACAGGGGCTCAGGCAAATTCCTTATAATTTGACTGAAATATTTACGACAACAACTTCGTGAATTTCATTACAAATTGTAGTAAGATTAAATAAATTTTGTAGAAAATATAAAGAAAAAATGTAGCAATTTTTATTGAACATTTATTTCGGTTTCAGTTTTCTGTTCTGCCTCAGACTACACAATATTGTATAATTGTTTCTTAATTGTTGTATACAAATATGCTACTATTTTGTATATAATTTTTTTTAAGTATTGTATAGAGATATGGTACAATGAAAAGTAATTTTTTAGAGGAATTTGCAGTACATATTCCTTAACGTTGTAGTAGAGAGACAAACAGTTTGTAGGAAAAAAAGTAATTACAATATTATATTAATTTTCACTACAACTTGTTTCTGTCCCTATATTCGCTNCTGCCCTGCGACCACCCACTACATTTCTCGTTCTTACATAGCCCTGCTCCAAACATACCCCTTTAGAAACCATTTTCGTATATCCCAAGTATATAAGTTATAACTAAAACGTAAGAGAGAGCCTAACTGTGTTCTAGAGCTTTTATGGACTTCCCCGGAACTACTGCGTCATTCTGGTTTACGTAAAAAAGGAACCCAGCCCGGGGATGTCTACTCCTTCGGGATAATTTGTCAGGAAGTGGTTGTCAGGGGTGAACCGTTCTGCATGTTCGCTCTAACACCCGAAGGTAACAAACTTTATAGTAGGTAGTAGTTTGTTTTTACAAATATTACAACACTCTTAATGAAATCATTGGGTAATTATCAAATTGATTCTAACTATGTGTATACGTGAATTTTCTAAGAGATCATCGAAAAGGTAAAGCATCCTCCGCCACTGATAAGACCGTCGGTAAGTAAGGGTGCAGCGCCGCCGGAAGCAATAAACATCATGCGTCAATGTTGGGCCGAGCAACCCGATCTGCGACCCGATTTTAATGCTGTTCACGATCTCTTCAAAAAACTCAATCATGGACGCAAAGTCAACATTGTCGATACGATGTTTCAGATGCTCGAAAAATACTCCAACAACCTGGAAGAACTCATTCGAGAACGAACCGAACAACTGGACTTTGAAAAGAAGAAAACCGAACAACTACTGAACAGGATGCTCCCAAGGTTCAACGATAAGTAAAAAAATAGCAAAAAAAGTTTAATTTTGATGTGTCGCGATTCGTTCTTTTTTTTAAGCACTCGTTTCGTAAATGAATTAATTGAAAATATTAAAAATTATCCCTAATATTCTCTCTTTTGTAATCTAATTACATAAATTTTGGCTTAGGGTGGTTACCTATTTCTCCCAACTAAAATTTTTTAGGGATTTTGTACGAAACGAAACCAAAAAAAGTTTTCATGAAGAGTAAATGTAAATTCTGTCTGGAGTAGAAGTGTTCTCTACAATTCCTTTAGTTCTTATCGATTTTATTCGTGTAAAACTTTGTAATACTTTACAGGCCAGTCTAAATAGACATTTTGATGCAAAATCTTTGACAGCAATCGGAGTAGAAAGTTCTCTACAGGTCCTTTCGTTTTCACTCATCCTATTCATCTAATATTTCCCGGAAGACTAATCCTGGAAACATTAAATTAACAAAGTCATGAATTTTTCAAAAATCACCTTTTCTTTAGAGGTTTTTCGTGTTTCTCTCGATATAAACTCATTGAGCCTTCCACGTACTATTATTATGTTAGCAGGTATCTTAGTTTTTGTGAGAGAGTTAAAACAAGTGTATTACTAATTGTTTGTTCGTATTAAATATGACAAGCTAATGCGCTGCTTAAGACCCGAAGGAACCGCGAGAATAAATCTTGCAAAACATTCGTGGGAAGAAGAGATAAGATTAACTGCTTACAGCATTCCAACGCTCACACGAGCACAAAAACACGACAGACAGTTGAATTTTATTACAAAAGGCATTTTGCAAAGTTGATGGAAAGCCGTTTAATTCCAAAATAACACGACTAACCTAATAATAGGACGCGATTTGAACTTTGAACTTTCATACTATCTGCAAGCACTTGTTCTAGATGTTATTTCCGTTAATATACAATACATACAATGCCAAACATATCTTCATAAACATAATTAGTTAAATATAATTGTATATTAATAGTATACGAGCTCTTTCCCATTTCAATTGGCACCCACACCTAACAAAATCTTAAACAATAAACACTACATTTTTCCATTATGGTCTCGAATTCATGAACAGGGTGTATCTAATAATATGCAATATACAAAGCAAGCATACAGTATTACTCCCACGTCTTTAGTGATTTGCTCCCTTTTAAGATGAGACCCACTTAAAAACAAGAAAATGTAGAAGAGAAAACCGTTAATGAAAATGTTACATAAGAGTGATCCCGAATTAGATCCTTGTGAGACACCAGATGTTAAACGTGATGTTGAATCGACAAATATACTTCATCTACTTGATCAAAGATCTTTATCAGTTTCTAAAAAAAAAAAGGTACCAAGGGTCCATTAAAATGGGAAGAGAATTGTGTATGCAGATATAAAAATGTTTTCAGTTAAAATATATACATATAGAAACATTATTAAAGTTACAAATTCTGAATTACAAGATAAAGCTTTGAGAAAATTGCCACTAACGTATTTGTACGTCTTTGGTTGTTGAATTTCCTTTTTACAATGCGAACGTTTTGAAAATTTTTATTTTCTCACTTAATATTTTTCGATGGTCTAATATTCTCTCTCTCCCTCTTTCTGTGCTCATACAGCTCGGTGGCGGAAAAGCTTAAGTTAGGAATGCCCGTCGATCCCGAAGAATTCGACGAGGTCACGATCTATTTCTCGGACATTGTTGGATTCACGACTATTTCGGCTTATTCGACGCCTTTCCAAGTTGTCGATTTGCTCAACGATCTCTACACTTGTTTCGACGCAACAATCAATGCGTATGACGTTTACAAAGTGGAAACCATAGGCGACGCATATATGGTGGTCGGGGGATTACCCGTACGCGTGCCAGATCATGCCGAGCAGGTGAATCAAAATCATTCTTTAAAAAACACAGTTATATGTATATTTTTGGATTTAAATTCATTAGTAGGGATACGTAAATAAATAATTAAAATTCCGAAAACTTAAAATATATTCATTAAAAGATGAATTATTCAAGAAAGACACAACATAAGAATGTTATAACATTTATTATTAAATAGTCTACAGTTAATATGCTGAAATACAAGAATATTCTAAATATAAAAAAATGGTGGATGCCTTCGGCATGCTCATTATGCCATATGGCTCATAAGGGTTGTAAAATGTTTTTGATATCTGTTTACATATGAACATATCTAGATTGCAACAATGGCTTTGGACCTTCTTTATCAAAGCGGAAAATTTCGAATAAGGCATCTTCCAAACACACCCCTTCGTTTGCGCATAGGTCTCCACACAGGACCTTGTTGTGCTGGGGTTGTCGGTCTTACAATGCCAAGATATTGTTTGTTTGGTGACACCGTTAATACAGCTTCTAGGATGGAATCTTCAGGTAAAAATTATATCATCATCATCATCATAGGGTCGTCGGACTTAAGAGTGCTTGGACCCACATCCTTAACTATTTGCGAACAGTAATCTAATCTAGGTCTATCTATACGCCTCCTAACTCCTGTTTCTGCCTCTAATATGTCTCTGACTAGACCTTCATGCCTTCCTACCAACCTATCTCGCCTATTTCTTATTGAATTCCATAGAGTCCTCTGTTCTCGTATTCTTTCTAATACCTCTTCATTTCTAACCTTTTCTACCCATGTTATCCTCATCATCCGCCTATAACACCACATTTCGAAAACTTCTAACCTTGTCTTATCCGCCGCGCCCACTGTCCATGTTTCGCACCCGTACAACGCCGTGCTCCAAACATACACCTTTAACAACCTTTTTCGGATTTCTAAATTAACCGTTAGCGAGCATAGAAGTGACTTCTTTTTATTGAAGGCGATAGGACCCTGCGCTATCCTCTGCTTTATATCCCTACTACTCCTTCCGTTCTGACTTATCTGACTTCCTAGGTATCTAAAATCAGCTACTTCTTATAATTTTTCGTCTCCCTATCTTTATATTCGCTCTTTCCGTACTTTTTCTTCAATAAATCCCCAGTGCATTTTCTTATTGGAATTACCCAGCCATTGCTTATACATGCACTAAACGAATCAAGTAAATGAGAACATTCCAGTTGATACGTACTTAAATGTTGAATGTTCTAAAATTAACCTAAAAAGACGTCAACTCGGATAAATTGACTGCTACATCTTAATTAGAAGAAGATGAATGGTATGAGCTGTTTATTCGCAATTAATAACTGTCAAATGTACTTCTCTGAAAGGAGCTGCTTGGCGAATTCATCTTTCGGAAGCTACGAAATTGAAGTTGGAAAAGGCAGGAGGCTACGAGATCGAATATCGGGGATTGACTGAAATTAAAGGAAAAGGGGTAATGCCCACGTACTGGCTCTTGGGAAAGGATGGCTTTGAAAAACAACTTCCAATACCACCCTCTCTGGAGTAAGTCTTTGGCTGTCATACGAATTTTATTACCGAATTATAATCCCTACTTTTAATTTATTTTTCCATGCTAACAGGGAAAGTCATGGGTAAGCACCCGTTTTCTGATTCCATTTCTTTTAATTTTGATTCAAATGATTATTAATTAGAGGTCATTCTTGCTGTAAAAAGTATTTGTGAGTGAAGTGCTTACGATAATGTATTACTTCTAAAATGACGAAACTGTGTAGATAAAAATTTAATTCGAGTTTTATCTTTTTTATAAGCTTCCAAATATGAAACTCGATATGATTTATTCATCAGTCGAATAAAGTTTCTTAGAGGATATAATTTGTTTTCAAAAAATCATACAATTATTCGCTAAAGGCTTTTCTGCTAGTTGCCTCGAGAAAAAGAATGGATGAATTATGCAAATTGCGACAAATGGCTTGTCGAATTTCACTTGATATATGAATTTTTTATCGATGCATATACTTCCTCCATAAACACTAAAAGAGATTGAATCAAATCAAATCAAATCGATAATCGTGAAATACTCGTCTGTAAAAAATAGAACTTTTTCGCGCAAAAATTTGGGATGGTGAGCGTTTTAGTCACGCACGCGTGAGCCGTGTTACCAGTCGTCCGGCATTCTTTTTCAGTGAACGCAGAATGCCAAAAGCATTAATTTAATAGAAAATACCACAAATGGCGCGGAAAACGCCATCTGTAGTACGATGCTACATTTTAGGATTTCGTATGTTCCAACATGTTGGTAAAGGTTGGTCTGTGTTCTGTCGGAGCTGTCTGCGACGCGCTGATGAGATCCAAAAAGGTCGAAATCGCGATCCGCGTCTGGCAGTTTCGACAGAATACGGACCACTTCGAATTATTAATTTAATATATATATTCTTTTAATATGTAATGAAATTGTAAAACCTTCAGAAACATTCAATTTTCAATCCAGATTAGATGAAAGTCTTATAATCCGAGTTCCCGTTTCAAACCAAAACTCTCAAGATGTAGACGTACATGAAGAAGTTGTAAGAGCCCCTGGCAATAACAGACTTTCGATTACTGACCATCATTTCGTCGAGCAATTTTCGTCGAAGCCGCCTACCACCGACCCCACATTTATAAGGACCATGGAGTCGTCGAAGTTCGCAACCCTTGGAAAACCCGACACGACAACTACTAAAGCTCAAGAATATCGAATGGCCAAGAGCACTTCGAGCGAGACCCCGTTGTCGTTGGGAACTCCCGTTTCAGCCACCGAAGTGGCCGCTGCTCTTTTAGCCGTTTCTACTAACTCCTTACACGGTTTCAGAAACAGGCCGAGAAGCAGGATTCAGGAGGAAGAAGATCTAAGCACTCCGTATAATCATTACAGGTAAAATTAGCTACGTATATAGAATTTTAATAATATATTTAGAATGTTTGTGGATGTAGTATCTAAATCATAAAAAACAAACGCTTTTATAACAGATGTCTTAGTCCGAAAGAACGTACAGGGAAATTATTACGTCGCCAATTCAGTTTGGATAAAACAGAAGAATCTAGCAAGGAATCATCTCAAGAAGAGGTAAATATATTAATTATATTAAGAAATATACAGTCTAGATGAGAAAAAGATGCAGTTTTATTTTTTTTATAATCGTTCTATTCAACATCTTGCAATATCTTGGTTTCAATTATCATCACATCATAAGATGTTCAGGCTTTAAACTGTTTTTGCTTCTATTATGCCTTTAACTAGCCATTTTCTTTCGTTTTTCTTACTGGCTTCCACAGCGACCTTATATCTCTTCCTTACTCTAACATCTCCTGATTTCTAAACTTGTATATTCAGAGTGTTTTCATCTTCCGCCTATTACACCACTCAAACGATTCTAGCCTTTCCTTTTCTGCCCTGCGACCACCCACTACATTTCTCGTTCTTACATAGCCCTGCTCCAAACATACCCCTTTAGAAACCATTTTCGTATATCCCAAGTATATAAGTTATAACTAAAACGTAAGAGAGAGACGCCATAAGTAATTGTAGCTGGATGAAAGTTCAAAGTGGGGTCAATCAATGGCCTATGGTGATGGACCATGAAAATTGGATATATGGCATATTTCAGCACAAGTACATCACCATGACCTTCCGTTAAATCCATAATTTTTATAGCGTCTTACCCTTTATTTACGATAGTTTAGAGAAAAAGTACTTATTATACTTCATTATTAACTATAAAAAATATATAAATTCTTTGGTTAATTTATTGGTGCTAATACTTTAGGTCCCTAGAAAATTGTGCAAACAAAATTCAGCAGGGGCTGCAGATTTAGAGAAAATAGAAGAGGCAAATTCACAAAGTTTTACCCCCACGACTGTCGCTTCACCCTATCACACGACCTTGTCAATTTCTGTAGACTCCCTTATGCGTTAGGAATTGTTACTAGAAACTTATTCCCTGGTAATAATAAATAAATCCAGAAGTCAAAGAATGAATAAAAACTAGTCTGATACCCCAATCATTAATTAATAGGTGTTTTAATTACATATTTAATGTTTTATGTAAATAGATACGGTGTTGTTGTATAAGGCAGTGATTATGCAGGGCGATAATCACTCATGTTGATTATTTTTTGACTTTAAGTGTTAACTGTTGAATTTAAAATATTTATATATGTATATGTGAATATATAAATTATAAAAAATAATGGACGTGCTATAAATAAATACACAAATATATAGAAAATATATTTTCAAACGAATTAAACTTTATCGAATATTTCATTTTAATTTTGGATTTTATATTAATATTTCAAACACGAAAGTATTTTAATTTATTGAGATAGTAATAATCGTTGTAAAAGGATCGAATTAATTATTTATTTTAATGTTTATAACCATCTACATGTACGTTTTATAATGTAAATAAATTAATTTCTCGTGTGTAGTCTGAATGTGAAAAATCTTTTTCTGATAGTTTGTACATCTTCATTGATTCCTAATGTAGACAATCCTTAAAGATACTTAAGTGTTTTTAACTTATTATTAATACGTGTAGCATTTAGAAAATTATCTACAAAGACAATTGAGTGTGGTACATACGCCTTCTTTACTTTTTAATGTTCTCCAAATCTTATGTTATAATAATTTGGTTATTTGTACTTAAAATTAAACTGTTTGCCTTTCAACATCAATGAAATTACTCACTCTTTAATGATCTCAATAAAGTAGCGAATTTAGAAAATCCCGAAATTATTAAAATATTAAATCTATGTTTATTAATTTTTATGGAAAAGGGGACAATAATATTTCACGTTTTACTGCTTGTTTTCCGGAACATAATACAGGGTAATTTGCATCTTAAAAGGGAACGATATATACGTGGGACAAACTAGAAAGTTTGTAAAAATACGAATCGAGGAAAACAACAGATGCTGTAGAGACAATTGAATTTTCTTTTCTTTGTCATTACCTATTACCGAATTTCTTTAACTTAAAATTTAAACGTACTGCACAANTCCCCTGAAGTGCTTTATGAGCTATTTATCAAACATAAATACATTAGAACTGTTTCAGTGAAATCGAGTAGTAACCTACCTTAGACCAAAAAGGCGAAACGTCGCTTTAAGATTGCAAATTAAATAAATAAAATTTCGCCCCTCTGGTCGCTTTCATTAAAACAGTTCTAATTCAACACCTTGCTGAAATTTTATATAAGTTAATTGTTATTAAAAATGTAATGTACAAACGAACATCGCTATTATATTTTATCTTTTTAAATAAAATATATTTCACAGGAACAAGGTTTTTAATCCTTTATTTTTATAAACGTCAACAAAAAAAAAGTACAAGCAAAAAATCTTAAAAGTGGAAACTTATAATATATATTACAAATAACATTAAATAGACGTTATTACCGTTTCCATGTTGATATTTCCTGTAATAGGTCGAAATAGAAGATTAAACAAGGTGTTTGAGGATACGGAAAATAAAATGGGAAATAATGTTAGAGCATCTGCTAATCTTTCCCAATTGTTCTCCATTTGGACCTGAAAGAAACAATGGACATTGCACTAATCAAAAAAATTCCAAAATCGTACCATAAGTAAATCTAGCGCTTGTTTCTTTAGTCTCCGAGTTAGCATTATCTGATCCAAATCTGCCAGCAAATCCGGTCGACAAAGCAACAAGTTTTCCAACGCTTCTGAATAGCACCAGCTTATGCTGGAGTTTTTTAGAGTTTGAAGTGCCTTTTCTAAACCTGGTACGATGTTCCAGATAAAGGAGGGATAAAACACTGCTCGCAATATAAAGAGGGGACCCCACATATGTATCAGGATAACGTCCTGAGATGTTCGGTCTAATAAACCGAATAAACTGTTACTCCTTACATGCCTGATCGACAGTAGAAGGACTTGGGCTGCCGTTTCTAGGTGAAAATCAAGCGACGGATTTAGTTTGATGTTCATGGAAAATCTGGACGAAGAAGATAATGGTGATGGTAGGTAGTTTAAGCGTTTAGGACTTGACGGTTTTTCGATGGTTTCTAAAGATTTGGGCTTTCTGGGTCCTCGTTCTTCTTGAACAGCTAAGAAACACAATCGTTAAAAGAAAATATTGATATTCTTATCACAAATTTTCGTGGAAAATAATATTATGAGATACATGGCACAGTTTTTTCAATTATTCTATTTCTATAACGTATTAGGAAATGTTATTTGTTTTCAGGTGTATTCTAGGAAGTCACTTTCCCAATTCTTATACAGGTAATCTAGGTAATCCTAGAATTGTTTTTGTGGTCATTACAAAATACAAATGTTAAAATGATTGAAGCATTAACAATTGTAATAATAGTGTACGCAATGTTCAGACAGGAAAGCATAAAATTTATCTNTTCGCCCCTCTGGTCGCTTTCATTAAAACAGTTCTAATTCAACATTGGGAAAGATATTACATAGGATAAATACAATAGTTATGTAAAATTAAGACATTAATGTGATCTTGGGAGTACCACAGGGATCCGAGCTAGGTCCTCTATTATTCGCAATTTTTATAAATGACATAAAATAATGTTTTTCAGTAAAACTAAAACTACGATAATGAATTTAGTGAACTTGGCACTAAATCTTGTATTATATGGAATACGAAACGTATTGCTTAATCACTGTCAAGCAAAACGTAAAATAATACTTGAGGAGCCCTTACCCTGTCACGCTTGTTACAAGGGTTCATTACTATTATTACTATAACTGCTTTAATACATTTCAAAACCACCACCGCTGAGTTTTGTGTGTTCTTTATTATGATGACTATGACCTCTCGTTACGACAGCTCCATGAATAATTAAAAGAGATCCCACATACAGGGTGGTGTTTATAGATAAATGAAGTTACAGATATTTTCAACAATTTTGCTGATTATCTTATAAAAACGGAATAACTCTTAAGAATAACGTTTCAATAAAAGAATACTTATAATCATCATTTTTAATAATAAAAAAAAGTCAGATGTTTTCCTATAAATTTCTTTTGAATCAAAATTTTATATAATATTAAACAAATTATAATTACACAAACGAACACGTTATTATTTTGTATTAATCTTAACAGAGTTAAAACAATCTACAATTGCCTAACTCACGAAATTGTTAAAAATAAGTTAACTACCTATTTTTATCATAAAATGTGCGAAATCTAACAGTTCAAAATCACGAACTATAGCCATTCGTTGGGTATAAATTGTTATATTTTCTGCAAAAATTTAGTATTATTTATTGGTTCCTACTCGCTCACCACGTACAAACATGCTTTTTAGGAATTGTGTTGTTTGTTCTGTTGTTCTGCTTTTGGCTTTACCATGGGCGCGTAAGTTAACACTTTTTATTATATATATTACACAATTATTGGCAGGTAGGTAACAATATACAGAAATAAGTGACAGCATCGAAAGTTTTTAATTGTTGCTAATTGTAAGTCTTAAAAATGACATCAAACTCGATACAGAAATGATATTAATATTGACGATCAATACAAATAATGAACAAGGGTTTGACAACGGATTTTGATTATGCTTGTTACATAAGGGTTTTAGAACATCCAATTTCTTTTAAACAATGATTAATATAGTTTGAATTTTGCTGAATTTTTGATATTCTTTAAAATGTTCGAAATTATCTACAAGTATAACCAATGTAACAAATAAGAAAATCTATATTTAAAGCATGAATCTTTTGTACGTAAACCTCTGAAATTAAAAAATAGCCGAGATAATTTTCAAATCTACTAAATAATAATAGTTTTATATATGTATATATTTTTTATTATACAGAGGCTGCTCGAGATTCAGCACCGTTCTCACTTGCCCCATTCCCTTCATTCATGATGAAAGATTTTTTTCAAATACAAAAATTAAGCGAGATTGTTAGAAAGGATCCGCATGTAAGCGAAGCATTTTCGATAGCAAGCAATATCATTTTAAAATTGGTTGGACTAGCCGAAAATATAAAGGAGTACCTGGTGCTTTCTGACGACCAAATAACGGAAATAACAAAGAGATGGTCCGACAGTTTATCCCAACCCTTGGAAGAGCTAATCGCCCTGGTACTGAAGGGAAACAATAGGGAAGACAGTAAGAAACAATTAGAAGAATTAAAGAATCTATTGGAGAAATACCGGATTTTTGTTCAAAAAATTTTAAGTAATTTCTTACACCGTCTAGAAATCAACGACTTCTAAATGACTAAAACATG